ACTTTGCGACGTGCGCGTGCCGGGACCGGGTCCGGGTCCGGGTCCGGGTCCGGGGAATGGTGCTAGTGGTGCGAAGCACCACTCTAGTGGTGACTAGCCTTTGGCTAGTTTGCTAGCCTTTGGCTAGCTAAAGTTAGCCAAGTGGTAGGTAACATATTAAATTATATATTATTTACACAACCCACTATATAAACAAGACTATTTTCTTGTAAACTTTCGATGTGGGACTCCTTTCCATATAAAAACCACTTAAAATGGGCTTATCAACATATGGGCCTAGACTTTTCCAATTCACTTAAATTAATTGCAATGACCCATATCATTAAATATTACATTTAATATTTTAAACCCAAATCAAACCCAAATCAAATTCAATTAATTCCAACACATCTTGCCATGAGCTTTCTTTCTTCTCCATGTTTGAAAGAACTCCAGCTATCGTGACAACCGAAAGCGGAAGTCCATGACAATTTGTTGCAATTTGCTTTCCAATAGCTTGCAGTTCTTGAGGGCAACGGTCACTCTTGAACAGATTCTGCTCTAATAAATTCCAACTTTCACCTGGTGACATGAGAGGGAGGGCAACGGTCACTCTTGAACAGATTCTGCTCTAATAAATTCCAACTTTCACCTGGTGACATGAGAGGAGGTTCAAGAACAACTTGTGAAATTTCCAATGCCACATTTTTCTGCCGACTGGTGAACAATACTCTGCTTCCATTTTTGTCCTCAGGAAATAACCTTTTCAAATCATCCCACGCTTCTTTATCCCACAGATCGTCTATAACAATGAGGTATCTTCTCCCCTTTAAATTTTTGTAAAGACGTTCGGCCAATTCTTCGTCTTCCATTTTTGAAATTTCATCTCTGTGAAGGTTACTTCCAGAGCTCAAAATGTCAATCAACAGCTTTCTCTTTGTGTAAGTTTGAGAAACAACACACCAAGAAAGCATATCAAAATAGTTCCGAACGTTGGAATCATTGTACACTTTCTTTGCTAAAGATGTCTTGCCAAGACCACCCATTCCAACGATGGAAATAATCTGGCGGTAGCTTGGTCCTCCAAGAATCTTACTTGCAATTTGTGTTGTCACGTCCTCGAAGCCCACAATCATCTGTTCTGCCATAGGAATGTTTTTATGTTGGGATGATGATACTTCACTTTGACTTTCTGCAACTTGTAGGCTTCCAATTCCAGAATTCAGCTTCATTAGGACTTCAATGCGGTGATTTTTTATCTCGTTTTGCACAGACGCAATCCTTTCTAACAGAAGAAAAATTGGCTCATCCATTTCGGTAGTGGTAACATGGTCTGTGGTGAAAAAAAACTTATGCAAGAAAACCCCTACTGTGTCGTATACATGTTCAATTTCTGTGATTATATTCCCTTTAAACATCTGCTCGATCTGTTGCTGTTCCATTTTGGATTTATATTGCATTGTATCAACAAAAAAGTGAGCAGAAATTTCAGCTCCTTCCAAAGAACTTTGACTTTATTACTCACAAGAACACTGGAATATGTTTCGCAATTAAGCAATTCTCCAATAGTTTCATAAAGAAAGTTGATAAAGCTTTCCCGAGGCTCATAATGTGGATCGCCATAATAACATTCAAATTCTTGCATGTTTTGAAGAGTGAAAAGCTTCTTAATGTATGGCATGAAAGAGAGAATGATTTCTAAAAAGTTTTTGTAATGTTCGGTCTCTCCATATAAGATGCAGTTGGAGGCTGCATCATCAAGACACTTCATCAGATCAATAAATCTCGGGCTGAAGTCATTCCCTTCGGGTATTATGAAATCCTCGTGCAGTTCTTTTGCATATTTGAGAAAAGCTAAAAAGTATGGCCCTAACCATTGAAAGTTAACAAGTTTTTCTCCTCCATCAAGCTTTAAATCTTGCAGATGGGAAAGGAGATCTGGGCTTGTGACTAGAAGTGACAGATTTTCGTAAGAGAAACCCATCAAGTATTGTTGGTTTGGACAAAATGCTGATCAGATAGAGAGTTTATAGAGAGGAAATGTGTATCAGATGTGTCTCTTAGTTGTAATCAAAATATTGTTAGTTTCAGAGAGAGAGAGAGTAAGATTGATGAGAATTAGTCATATGAACATCTCAAATTATAGGGAAGGTTGGTTGAACGTAGACCTTAGAGTAATCAAGTTGGTATGTTAGGATGATTTAATTAATGAATCATCAGACAAGTGGTGTACTATAATATCAAGTGATTTTGTTTTGCTCTCAAAAGCCCACTAGGGAATATCTCAACCGAATATGCTTGTATTCAATTTCCAGTTCCCACCATAAATCCTGACTCTGTTTGATAGGCAAGAATTTCCATGGACAATGGAAATTAATTTGCATCTTCCACATTTGAGTGTTTGATGGGCAAGAATTTTCATGGAATTCATTTTCCATGCTACCCTCCAACGCGCCTATTTTCCTTGAAATCATGGAATTGGTTTTCCCCCCTATATGGTGGGAAAGTGAATTCTAAGTGCCTTTTTGTTTTTTTTTTTTTTTTTTTTTTTTTTTTGCAATGTAAATAAATTTTAGGACCGATTGTAAAAGAGAATATCCCTTAAATTGATAGTTTTCATATAAAACAAAATTAAATGAACACTAAAATATAGATGATTTTTGGATTTTTTTTTTCCTTTTTTTTGTAATGGAAACAAAATCTATCCGCAATATCAGTAAACTTAATCCCTTTCATCGACAATTTTTGTGTAAAACAAAGTCAAACGAACATAAAAAAACACTCTTATTTCAACATTTTCTACTTGAAAAATTATACCAATAAAATACAATAAATTGACAATTCTCAAAAATACAATTTCTAGACAATTCAATTCCCTGAAATTCGCTTTCTTTCCACAAAAATCTCATCTTTGCAATCAAACAGGCAATTGAAGGAAAGAAAGATTTTTTTTTTCAACCTTTAAAGGTGCTACCCAAATATGTTATGTCATGCTAGAGAATCGTGCTCTTGTCAACCCTTGTATATCGAAAAAGAAAAATGAATAAATAGATAGGGAAATCGGGGATAACTAATTTTTGTTGTAATTCGCGTGCTACACAAAAGAAACCAAATCTAGAGTTCTTTACTATTGAGTGAAAAATGGAAGTAAATAAGTTTATAATAAGTTTGAGATTTAGAAACTTTTCATATAAAAACCAAAAGTTACACCTTATTTGCATGGAGAAATAATGGAACGAATAATGTAAATATTCTTTCAGTTCCTTGCAAAATGTGAATAGATCAAATTCCTTCTTCTTCTTCTTTTTTTTTCTTTTTTTTTCCCTTCACGCACGATTTATCATACCTACTGCTAAATTTAGTACCACAGAAGGTATACTAAACGATTAAAAAGGTGCCGAAACACATACTTTACCAATTTATGAGACTAATCCTCAAAATGATTGAAATCAAGACAAGAAATATGACCAAGAAATGTAGAAAAATAGACCTTTGCATAGTCAAGTTGGCAGTTTTTGGGCTTTTCAAATAATTTGATGTTAATGACAATTTGGTTGAAAATTTACCTTTGCCGAATGAAGCCAGCACTTTAAAGGAAAATAATGGCCATATTAAAATAAATAATTAATTAATTAATGGAAAATGATGGCCATATTAAGATAATTAATTAAGTAGTAGAAATAAAAGACAAGTGATGGAGTAGGTTAGAATTATTACATATATACTAAATGATTTTATTAACGGACAACTTAGAAATTATCAAGAAAAGAAAGCACAACACAAGAAATGTATGTAAATAGATCTTTACCTAATCATGTTAGCTTTTAATACATCTTTTTAATTATATATGTCTTCTCAGATAATTTTTTAGGTTTTTTAGGTACAAGTTGATTGAAAAATTGACCTTTACCCAACGAAGTTGATGCTATATGTGAAAAAGATGGCCATATTAAGATAATTAAGTAATAGAATCAAAAGACAAGTGGTGGAGCAAGTTAAAATTATTACATATTAAATTATTTTGTTTCTTTTCTCTTAAAGGACTAGTTGGGAAATATCAAATAAAGATGCTTGTATTCCCAACTAGCAATTTCAATTGAAGGGAAGAAAGAGATACATTTGGCATCCATGAAACATTTTTCACTCTTGTGTATGAATGTCAACGAGTCGAGCTAAGTTGAATCGCTAGCCGAAACTCAAAGCTCGAGCTTAACTCGAGTAAAATTGGTTTTGGGCTTCTTTTGGCCCAAGCCAAGCTGAGTAGAAGCTCAGTCAAAAAATCTAGCTAGATCCAAGCTTTCGGCTCGGACCTTAACGAGCAGAGTCGGGTCGGGCCAAGCCAACTCGCTCTTTGTTTTTTTTTTTTTTTTCAAATATAGTTGCCTCGACAGTTGCCTTAACAAGTATTGTAAGAGAGATCTATCAAGTATTGTTTATTTGGGATCACAGAGAGAGTTTAATGAGAAGGTATGTGTAGCAGATGTGTCTCATATTTGTATACAAAATATTGTTTTGTTTTAGACGAGAGAGAGAGAGGGAGATTGATTGATGGAATTAGTCATATGAACATCTCTAATTATAGGGAAAGTTGGTTGAAGGTAAACCTTAACCTAATCAAGTTGGAATATTAATTAAGATAATTTAATTAATGGAATCATAAGACAAGTGGTGTAATATAATTGTTTTGCTCTTAAAGGCAAACTAGGGAATATCTCGACTGAAGATGCTTGTATTCAATTTCCAGTGCCCACCATGTGCTTGATGGGAATCATAAGACAAGTGGTGTAATATAATATGAGATGATTTTGTTTTGCTCTTAAAGGCAAACTAGGGAATATCTCGACTGAAGATGCTTGTATTCAATTTCCAGACAAGTTAGAAATTATCAAGAAAAGAAAGCATAACAAAAGAAATGAATGCAAATATATCTTTACCAGTTTACCTAATCAAGTTGGCTTTTAATACATCTTTTTAATGGAGTGTGCTATGTGTACATAAAAATTTGTACATAATTTTCCCTTTTTAATTATATATGGCTTCTCAGATAATTTTTTAAGTACAATTTTATTGAAAATTAAACTTAACCTAACGAAGTTGACACTACATAGGAAAAATAAATTTGTACATAATGGCGTCCCCCACTCACATGGAGCCATGTGAGTGTGGGGAGGGGGGGGACACCATTATATACAAATTTTTATGTACAACAACAATTTTCCCTTTTTAATTATTTATGGCTTCTCAGATAATTTTTTAAGTACAATTTGATAGGAAATTAAACTTTACCTAACAAAGTTGACGCTACATACGAAAAATATGGCCACATTAAAATAATTTAATTAAGTAATAGAATCAAAAGACAAGTGGCCGAGTAAGTTAGAATTATTACATATTAATTTTTTTTTCCCCTTAGAGGACAAGTTGGAAAATATCAAATAAAGATGCTTGCATTCCCTACTAGCAGTTAAAGATGCCAAGCCAGCTTTTTTTAATATCAAATAAAGATGCCAAGCCAACTTGCTTCTCTCCTTTTTTTTCCTAAAAAACTAGTCTATCGTCCATACAACGCACATGCAAGATTATTTTGAACGTTATATTAGCGTTTTTAATGTTGATATGAGTTTAGTGTTTAAGGAAGAAGTGATTCAATTAGTTATAAAAATAGTCAAAGTAAACTATTTGTAATATTAATTTTGAAATTGAATGATTCAATATAATAATGATAAAAATGAAAAGTTAAGCTTTTTGCAAGGAAAAGCAGTAATTTTCACGAGTCGAAAAAATTGAAATAATTTTAAATAAAACAAATTTATATTGAAAAAATTTTGAATAGAAAAAAAAAATTCTCCTTTGAAGAAGAGAAAATCAGTAATTGAAAAAATTAAGTTCAATCATAAAGGGAAAAGAATTTAAAAAATTGTAAATAGAAAAAAAAAATTCTATAATACGAACAAAAAAATTTTAAAAATAAATTAATTTGTAATTTCCACCAATAGAAAAATTGAAATAATTTTACATTGAACAAATTTATATTGAAAAAATTTTAAATGGAAAAAAATATGTCATTTGAATGAGAGAAAAAACAGTAATTAAAAAAATTAAGTTCAATGAGCAAAGATTTTTAATAAAATTAAATAGAATTCTTTTTTTGAAAATCTATAATATAAACAAAAAATTTAAAAATTAAATAAATAAACAAAATAAATTTTCATTCATTTTCACGGAGAAAGACACTCCTTTCAAAAGGAGAGAACTCTCCTTTTGAACTCTTCTAAGGAGAGACAATCTCTCCGTGGATGGAGAAATACTCTTCGTCAACGGAGAGTATTTTTTTCTTATTTTTTATTTAAATTTCTTTTGTTCATATTATATTTTTTTTATTTTGGATTTAAATTTTTTTAATTCTTTTCTTTTTATGATAAAATTTATTTTTTTCAATTTTAATTAAATAATATTAATATATTCTTTGTTTCATTTTTGTAACTTTAATTTCTTTAATTTTTTTTAATTACATAATATTTTTTTAAGTTTGCTTTGTTCATATTATAAATTTCTTTCTCTTTTTAATTTTTTTATCTTTATAGGTTGGGCACATTTTCTCTCCTTAAAAGAAATGAATGATACATGTGTCTTTAACTGCTAAACAAATCAACAATCATCTTTATGAATGCAAACAACAGTAGAACTGTAAACACTAGTAAATGGATCAAAAAGACTCCAAACATATTCAAAACAAACTCTTGTAAGCCTCATTAAATAAAAACAACAATGGTCGTAAAATTTAAGCTTCTCAAGTAGATAAGGGTAAAGAAAAAAAGACCTAGTTAACTTTTACACGCTCAACCAAAAAACATATATTAAATTAAATAAAGCCTAAAAAATAAGAAATAAATCCACCAGAAAGCAAATATCAAACAAAAACATATTCATAGCCATATCTAAGAAAAATAAAATAAAACTCCAGTTAGATTTTCACGTATATACAGAGACAAGAACACACCTCACATCAAGGTAGGGGAAGATAAGCCAAGCTAGAATTTTCATCTAAACACAGAAATAAAAACTACATACCTTAAATAAATCTTAAAAAACTAAAAAACATAAATACAAAAAAAAAAATTGCAAGAACATACCCAAAGATAATCGTCAAAAATTCTACGATTTTCTTCCCTACGATTGAAATGGGGACTGCGCGATGTTTTTTACCCACATAAAGAAACAAGAATTTGGAGAAGTTTTTTTTTCGTACATGAAAGCTAATCGATTGAATTGAAGGAGGGAGAATGAGTGACTTGAAATAGTGATAAATAGTAGATTACTTTGTATTTTTTTATAATATAATAAAAAAATCAAACTACTTTGACCAAATCCATTTTGAACTCGTTGAATGTGAAAACGCATGTGACAAAAATGATTAGTTTAGCTTTGTTCAAAAAAAGGAGTAATTTTCACCTTAA